CAAAACGACAACTGCAAATGGCGCACAGACTTAATAGAACCCAAAGCCACTTTCTCCCCTTTACGTTAGTTTTTTTTTTGTTGCATCAACAATTGCCTTCAAAAAGTGGATATGATTTCAATTTACAATTTGAAGCTTGAAATAAATCATTTTAAGAACCTAGGGAAAGCGAAGGTTGCAATTGAATTTAATGAATTGAAAATCTAACGATTTTGGTTAGGTGAAAGACTTTTCTGAAGATATATATAACATTTTTTATCCTATCTGAAACTGGAATGTCTTTAATGTCTTGCCGGTGTTCGATTTTAGTCGGAAAGTTAGCAATGTTTCTCCTTCAATAAGACATATATGACCTTATCATGTGTTTACATTCTTGATCAGCATCACCAGCCGCGTAGATTTAGTCATTTCTGTATAATTATCTTACCGTTTCTACGCAAACTACTTTCTGGGTTTTAGTTATATGTAACACTGTATCTGGTCATAGCAATAAACCAAAAAAATTACAAGGGAGAAAGCCAAAGTCGAGTTTAATAAACTGTGTAGTACCGGATAACCCATCGTTGGTGTGGTATGAGGTTAAAAAATCATTATAAACGGCATAAATACTACTAACTCTATTGTTTATTAGGTATTAGTACCTCCACAAATGTCTAACTTTTTGATATAATAGAAACTTTAAAGTCTAATTCTCGATTATAGGCTTTAAAACAACCTTAAACTGCATACAACAAATAATAGTGTTGTCCCCAAATTAGCTCTCATTGCACCCAAATACAGGATCTCTTTTTATATGGAGAATCTTGTTAAAAATATGGCATGTGAGCTCAGTACTAAACCTTGTGGCATCTGGTGGCATTGCTTTACTGTCCGGTCAGCCAACATTTTATGTAATTTTTTATACATTTTCCTGTGTAACCGCAGTGGAGGTCCTGCCGCTGTGCAGTTCATCGAGAGTGACCACCATGAAACTCTCGAAACCAATGTATTATGGCTTAGTTGGAAGGAACACTTGTCGCTTAATATTTATACAACTTTTCTTTGGTTTCATGGCCATTTTTTTCTTTCTTAAAAAATTATGTTTTAAGAGAGAATGGAAATCCTTTTTTCTTTGTCAATTAATAAATTAACATGATGTTGAACACGTTCAAAATCAGTTTCTTGGGATGCCGTTCTGAGCCTTAATATTAAAGGAACCCATAAATAGATTAGCACTTTTGTGATAAAGGAGGTTGCTTTTCATTCTACCTTTTAGTTGTACAACAAAACCAAACTTTTTCAGAATTTCATAAATTCTCATAAATGATTTTGATAAAATTTGTTTTAAAATTGGTAAAAAATTACTTCTTATCCAATTATATGCGTATCAGATGACAACTAACGAAAGCATCTAAATTATATATTCCTTATTTTTTCCACCTATTTACCTCGTATCTTTGGTATCTATGAAATTATTCGCTCAATTGAACATATAGTGGATTTACAATCGTTGTTCTAAAATCCCAAAAGTAAGACTATGTCTTTCAATAAAGGAAATGAAGCTTAATTTTTCTTAAGCAGCAATTTCTATCATTTTCAATAATAGCTATAGTCGTATATTCTACCTTTATACCTGCAAGAAATCAGATTATCCGGAACGATTCATTCAATATGTCTATATGTAATTATTTTAATTTGTTCACTGGCTGCATTTTGTGTAAATTAAATCATCATCTTTCCTAACCAAAGAATTATGCTGTTTAGGAAATATTTTAAACTTTTGCAAACTTTGTGAAATTATATTTTTCAGAGATTTTCTGCAAAGGCTAGCCCTATTTTTTCAGTCACAGGTGTAGTGAGCTCAAAAATATTTGCACTTGACTGCTAGCTGTTGCTGTTGCTGCTGGTTGCTCCTGCAACGGAAACGGAAACATGACACCTGCGCAGCCACACACACACACACACACACAGAGAGAGAAGGGTGCGGTGACAGGAAGGGAGGCTGGGGAAGAGAAAAAGAGAGAGGGGCGGCAATGCAGGCAACGTTGGGCAAACAAACGCAACCGAGATAAACAGGAACTTATTATGCGAACTCATGCAAGGTGAGGGGGAGGCGAATGCGAATCGAAGCCGCCTCCGCCCGCCCCCTTGTTGCAACTGCAACCGCCTTCCTCCGATTGCATTACTTGGTGTGCTCTATCTGAAATTACACCGACAACAATGGCAATCCCAGGGACCAGGCCCCCGGTCCCAGCTGCCCGCAAAAGCCCAGCCACTGTTGTCCGCCTTGTTTATTGTTATGTTTGCCAATTGCCATGGCAGACCACTGCCACGCCCCAGAGCCCTATCCCGGTATGCAGCTAAATGAGGCATGTGTTTTCACACCTTGACCTCAGCAGGTGGCACCAAAAAATAGAAACCGACCTCAACAAAACCACAAAGCGATTAAGAGTGCCATCATCATGCCACTCGAAGCGTTGCATACTCAGCAAGTGCGCATGAGAAATATAAATAAATTTCACTTTATTGCACATTAAGTGTTTGCGAATCGTCAGATGTTGAACAAAATAATATAAATACTAACAAAGTTTTTAAGCCCTAAAATTACAGACTAAAACCATACATTGTTACAATTGTGCGAGAAGACTTTGTAAGAGCCACACGAATGTTTACACATGTAATATGGGAAAAACTACACTAAAGGCTTAAGACTTGAGTACACTTTTGGCAAAATGTAAATTCATAGGCTTTTTTTGCAAAGCTCTGGAGTAATAAATTAGACCAATTAAAATGAAAAGCGTCAGCTTAGCCCTAAACTCGTATAGAAAGTTTTTGAAAATTCTTTACAGTGTTCCAGAGCAAACTGAGCGGCACATAAATTAATCTTTGCTAATTGTTTAATCTGCCGTTCGAGCGCGTCTAACAGCCACTGTTTGGTAAAATAAAAAATGTTGCCTGCATTTAGGCGCTGCGCATGTCGCGATTTATTTCGCCGGGAAATTCGTTGGTTTTTCCGCCTGCCAGCTGTCGAAGCATCCAAAACACTCTTGTTTGTCCCGCGAATAATTTAGACATTTTCGGGTGCAATTCAACAGTGGCAGCTGACAGTAAAGCCATACTAAAAAATAGTTATTTAAATGGGGCCAGGGAGTATGTGAGGCAACAAAAGACGGCGTGCTGGAAAAATTGAGGGATATCAAAAACTCTTGGTAAATTAAAGCCAAACAAAACGGCAAGTGCCAGCTGCACATGAATATATATTAGAATTAATGCATTTCGTCAACATTTTGCTCACAATGTGAGAAAGATGCAAACGACGACGCCAGAGACATAAAACGCAGACCCCAAAACCGAGTCGGAAAAACACATAGCCAGGGACTGAGGACTGCCAGTGGAGCTGAGGAATGCGAATGCAAATCCACCCGAGTGTAACGAGGGAAAAGATGAAAATGGGAACAAGAAATAAAATGGAAACCATAAACAGACAAAGTGTGTGTGTCAGCAATGAGGGGGGAAAACGCTTAAAGGAGGCCACCATCGAAGCTGAAACTTGAGATTCCAAGGAATTCAGATTGAAGTAAATTAGTTAAATTAACTAGAAGCACTAGAAGCAACGGCAAGCATTTGGCAACTGATTCCCCAAGCAGATAGTTTTCTCTCTCTCCTGCCGCCCTTTGAATTTGATCAGATTTTTGCCTCGAGTAGATACACATGAATAAGGCAATAGAGTAAAGTGGACCTCGACTTTTTGGGTCAAAAAAGATGAAAATGCATATGCTGGAATGCATTTCCACAAATGTCTGTATGTGGCAAGTCAGGAGGCAAATTTAAAACTAACGACAACTGTAGACCGTCTGCTGCCAGGAATCCACTCCAGACCCACCGTTTTTCCATCCCCTTGGCCCTTTGTTCCTAGGTGGAAACCTGCCTGCCTTTTGGCCGTTTAGTTTTTTTTTATTTTGGCTGGAATTGTGTGAAATTCACCTCCAACCCCAATCCCCATTTTTCTCTCGGTTTTCCTCTGCAAGTTTTTCATGCATTTTTAAACAGCCATTTATGAAGCGCGTGAGCTCAACTAACCAAAAATGTTGTGAGTGTGCTCCAACTAATTTAGAAATATTTTTAGTTGGCAAAAAAAAACCTTGTTTGATACTAAAAGTCACATGCTAAAATTAATGTATTAATGCGTAAAGAAACTAGTAATTAAAGGACTTTTTGTAGTGTATTTCTGCGCCTAGGTGCGCGTGTGAGTGAAAGTAAAACTTTTAATTACCTAAAATTGAGGCGCCTCCGCCACAAAGAACTGTTTTTCGCTTTCCTGATGCTCACCCGTGAAAGGAAACTCACGCAAAAAAAAAAGGAAAAACTCAAGGGGCTTTTACCTTTTTGAGAGATGCCAACCAGCAACACCACCAAAGCCCCCGATAAGACCCAAGGCCCCACCCCATCCCCCCACGACACCTCACACTTGTGAAAAAGAGGCGAAAACTTTCGACAGGCAAAGTACAAGATACTTAAGGCAACTGGCAAGTCAATTCAAACACTTCGAGCGACTCAACAGATCAAAATCGCGTGTGTCGCTTTCTGGGCAACAGCAAAGGCAAAGGCAAAAGGACGAAGGCAGCAGGACGAAGGCAGCAGGACGAAGGCAGCAGGACGAAGGCAGGGGCTTGCCTGCCCGGCGGGGCTCTGCGGTAGAGTAGAGCAAGGATGACTAGGACATGCCCCAAAGGCAACGGCTGCATGTACAAGAGTATTCAGGCTGCGATGCTTGTGGAATGTGTCGTACATCAGGCACAGCACGCCGAGGAAATTTTAAAGATTTAGAATAAAAATGGTTACGAGAAAGCCTTTAAGTTTTGAAGGCACTCTGCCGTCAGAGGCACTTACTTTTGGGGAAAATAAGTTAGACAGAGGGGAAAATAAGATTATAATTGCAATTATGGTACATCCATCCCCTTTGCCGACACTCATCTAATGCCCTTTTCTGACTTTCCCATTTTCCTCTCGTTTTTTTGCAGACTCCGAGCTCGAGGAGTTCGAGACGCCGGCTCGGTACAGGCCCGACTCGCTAAGCGCGCTGAGCAGAGCCACACGGTTCACGGAGGACGAGATCAAACGAATTTACAGGGGATTCAAGGCCGAGTGCCCCACAGGAGTCGTCAAGGAGGACACCTTCAAAGTGATCTACTCGCAGTTCTTTCCACAGGGAGGTTCGTGCGGTACAGTATAGATTGTTTTGTTAACATTTCTGACTTGACTAGTGATTTACTAACGCCTGCCCTTACTGTATCTGTATTGTTGCTCTTATCTGCATTTGCGCCACCCTTTCGTTGCCATAGCAATAGCGATAGCGATAGCGATTGCGATAGACGATAACCGCTATCCATTCCACATCATAACCGTACAGTCACCACAAAACACCAACTCCCCATCGAGTAGTTCGAGTTGCAACATCGCGATCTCGATCTTGATCTTGATCCCGATATCGATGTGTGTCCCGTGTCTGACTAAACCCAGTGTTAAATGTTAACTTTAATGCTTAGTAATTTTTTGAGTTTTGTGTTTGTGTTAATAATTCAGTTGCTGTGCGAGTGAGAGTGGTTTGTGTGTGAGTTTGGTTTATCTTGGGGTCTTTAGTTGCCATTAATGAGTAGGGTCTCGTTAGAATATTTATTCATAAGCTCATAATTTACTTTCAATCTAATTTATTTATTTCTTGAATCTAATTTGTACCGATGACTCAGTTCTCCTACACTACATTCAATATTTTTGCCCAATCCACATGCTCCTCTATTCCTACTTAACACCAATCGATGTCTCTAGTCCGGAATCCAAATGGAAATTGAAATGAAAATGAAAATGAAAAGGAAAAGAAAAACTGGAAGAGTGTTCTGGAGCATACAGTTGCGATTAGGAAAGGACCCATAAACAAATGGCAATTGTCTAGAGATTGCCACAGCAACCTAAACCCCAAACCCTAAACTCAAAGCCAACGCCCAAGCCTTTGCCATTCAAAACACTTTTCCGGAAAAAGTCAACTCGAGTCTCGGGGCGCAAAGCCATTGATAATAATGTATGACCCATGGGCCAAAGTCCCAAAGAGTTGCTGATGATCATCACGGCCAGCAAGATGATAATGATGTGGCAGTAGCTGAGGAGGATGCTAATGACGATGCCGGGCAGAAAAGGCGACTCCTTGCCTTGTTGGGTTGGGCTGGGCTAAAAGCTGGCCCTTGGCTTGTAAAATATTAAATGCAGAAAGCAAATTAGCAAAAAAGCATAAAAAGCAAAATCATGTTTCACAAGTCGCGGTCTTTTAAGGGGCCAGTCGGTGGCGGGTGGGGGCGTGGCAGGCAAGCCACCCACTTGACCTCGTTTGAACAACAAGTGAATTTTTTTATTCGCATTCGGACGTGTTTTTTTCGGGCTACTTTTTTGCATCTACATCTGCAAAAAGCTGAATCTGAAGATGAGACTGGGGCTGAAAAGGGGACGGATTCTTTCACTGGCCAGTAACTAACTGAATTGCCGATAGATTACTGCGGGCAGGGGTCTGCTGCGGGTTGCGAATTCCGGATGAGGGTTGCTCTGCCTGCCAAACAAAAATGTCAAAGAAATGTAAAGAAAGGCCTCGCCAAAAGCCTGCAAATATATATAACATCGAAATGTATTCCCCTAATTTAGTTGAAAGAAAATGCGGTTTTATTTTTTGGCTCAAATTATTCCAATGGGTTGCTAGGCGAGGGGAGAAATTGGTAAAAAAGAATAAGTTCGAACAATGAAAGCAAGAGCAGCATAGTTAATATTCTTCACTATAAAGAATAAATCATAGGAGAAGCATGAAATATAATGAGTAAATAATATACTTTAAAAACCATTTTCTACTGACCTTAAAAGTAACGTTTCTATGGCTCACATATCGCTGAATTGAGATTAAACTCCTCTTGAATGCAAACACATTTTAATGAGTAAAATGAATTTAATAAATATTCTAAAGAATCCTCCCTGTTTAGCTTAATCGTGTTGTTTTTTTTTCTCTTCTCCCTACAACAATTTCTACTGAATTTGTCCTGGCGAATCCCATTCGCACCTCAGGCATTGGCCAGACAAGGGTCATAAATTCAGTTTGGGAAACATTTGTACTGTCGCTTAAATCCGGGAACGCGCAGTGGAAAAAAGTTATTGCTACACATGTTGGGACACTGAATTATTATAATAAACTTATTTAGACTACACAATGCTACAATGGAGACGGCTAGGCGGGGAAGGGGGGAGTTTCCGCTCATCGACGGGCGGAAACGGAAATAAGAAATTCGCAGTAAACATGGGACTTGCCTCCTGTCATTTCCCGGAGATTCCCCTTATTTTCCATCATGTCTGCCGTTATCTGATGAAAAATAAATAATGAAATCATTTTTTATTTTGATAAGCTGCTTTGCCACACACACACGCACACACGCATAGCCTAATACGAGCGAGGGAAAAAAATCATCTTCAAAGTTGGTGATTTATCACTTTTGGCCTGCCCTGCTGTCGTGAGCTTTTTTGTTTTTTCCTTCTTTATTTTTTTGCTTTATTTAGCCAGACTTGGGCCGCTTCTTTTGGGAAATTTCTGCGCAAATTTTATAACAATTTTTACATGGCACATTTGCAGTCATTTTTGATTTGCCACAGCGCAAAAAACACAACAAACAACATCCAGGGAGAGGCGCAGAATGATTTCCTGGGAGCAGATGCCATCTTTTGCCATTGAGCTTTGACCTTCGTGGGCGCGGCACTTTGCGTCATGCGTCATAAAAACACATTAAGCATCAAACGGCGACAATAAATTTGGACAAATAAATTTATACACTCGCACTGTACGTGTGTACAGTGGGTTTCATGGCTTTAAGGCACCCGCTGAGTTTAAAGTCTATCTGTAAAGCATGGAGTTTATGGATTTCGGGGATAATTTTGTTGAAAACATGAGAAAGGAAGAGCTCTTCTTGAAAGCTCTATTGTCTCCAATAACTCCTCTTTGGCTACTCACAATTTGAACATGGAACAAATAACTCCCAAAGTAGATACTTGTAAAATGTCATGAATTCAAATAGAGCCATCACAAGTTAAGGAACATCTGAACTGCCACTAAATAAACTTGTTGCCAAACTGAGTTATCGACTGCCAGTAAATGCAACAAAATTCGCCAATCGCTGAACTTGCGCTTTATGGCCGCGTGTTTTAAGGTAATGGAAGTGTGGGGAGTCCTGGCAGTTCGCTTTTTTTTGGGGGGGGGAGCACCGAATGGCATTTGATGCGATTTTATGAACTGACGTCTTGCCGCCTGCCGACTTGCCAAAGAGGTGTAAACGTTGCGAGCGCATAAACCCCGAAAAAAAAACAAACTTTGCCATTGTCAGCAACAACGCGGGCAACATCAAGCCATAAACATAAACGCGAATCATAAAAAAGTAGCAAGAAGCAAGAAGGAAGGCGCAGGACCCGCAGGGAGCAAGTGCAATAATCAAAATGTTATGTGATGGCCAGATAAAGAAATTTTTCTGACAACCAAGCAGGCGGAGATGGAGATGGAGAAGGAGGCGCACTAAGTGCGCTAAGTGCTCTTGGCGAAAGTCGGAAAATGTGATAACAACGCCAAGGCCCGCTTTCCCTCTCACTTTCACCGCACGCCCTCATAAGTAGGCAACACTTTTCGAAAAGGTTCAAATAAAAACACTGCACACTGTCAGAAAGCAGAAAGAGCAGAGCTTATCAGCAGCCACAGGAGACACTCGCATAATTAGCTGCAAACTGTTTCCCGGCTGCCCAGACCTCGCTCCCGCCTCCATCTACCACGCAGAAACTTTCGGGGAACCCCAACCTCGGGACCAAAAAATGATGACTTTTCCCCTGATAAACGGAGAAGACAAAAGCACAAAACACACGCACTCACACCAATAGCGAAGAGCAAAATAAATAAAAAGAAAACGACATGGAAAAACTTTTGCGGATGACAAAACCGTAAGGAAAGCGAAAGTCTAAAAATTTCCAAGTCAAGACTGAGACGACGACGACGACCCACATAAAACTTGCTACCCCAAAAACTCATATCTATGAAAATGCTGGCCAAACTATCGAGACGGTTGACTTTTGAACACACTGAAGAAAAAATCGATCAGTGAAATAATATCAATTCAAAATTATAGAGAATGCAGGATATCCAAGGATATACCGGGTATAATTTCATGTTCCATATTTGTGGTATTTAGTACTTACAAATGAACTCACATAAGATAAATTATATACAACTATTTGTCATTATATATGTTCATAATAGTAAAAGTATCATTTATCATTTGTAATATTATTACTTTAAACTTAAGGAAAGATAAAAGGTTTATATTTCATTATTTGATTTCACAAATTTTCTTATGCATATGTTGTTTGGTGTTTTGGGTGAATGAGAGTGCGCTTGTTTGTAGAGTATATATTTGATAATGTTACTGAAAGTTAATCGCTTCTGTTGCGACCTAATTGGTCAACTTTTGCCAGCTTTGGGTTGCCTAGATCTTACCCGTAGAATATTCTAATTTAACGCCCTCCTCTCTTGCTTTCATTTGACCTTTCAACCAACAACGCCGGACATCTGCCTCGACCGAAAACAACAGCCAATCCAACCCTTTATGCGCACTATGTCTTTAATACACTGGATCAGGATCACAGTGGCATAGTCAGCTTTGAGGTAAGTTTAAAGTATCTATCCTCCCAAGTCCTTTTCCCCCTAATTCCCCCGCAGACGACAAGGCAAGGCTGCCAGGATGAACTAAGCCCGTGTGAATCGTTTCAAATTGGATTGGCTTAAGGTTTGGGGAAAATGCTGCATGTGTAAGGAGGAGATAACCCCATTAGACCAGCAAACAACAAAAATATTCTGTATCAGTGGCAGCAGTGAAATTAATCCATTACGGAAAATTCCTCCTGTATTTGCCACCCCTTTTTGTCAGTGATGGCACCTTTAAAGGGCCAATAGATTAAACATAGAAGTGGAAAGTGCTAATCGAATGAGAATCTCTAAAATATTATTTTAAGATAAATAATCGTTAATTAAAAGTAGCCTAAAATACTTATATTTGATTACAATTACCTGAAGATAAGGTCAAAACTTCAAGTAAATTATTTGTAAAGCAGTTTGATTGCAAAAAGCTTGTCTCCTTTAGAAAACATTCCCGAGTGCTCACTTGAAATTGCAAAAACTTTGGAAACTTATCAGAATTGAGAAATTGTCAACCACTAAAGTGTTTTCAGAAATACAACAACTTCTTTGAGAACACAAAATTCTGCAATGGTGAAACCCCTGAATATTGATGGAAGTACTTCCTCGGGGTTCTTGTAAACTATAAAATATTTCGAAATAGGGACATGTCCGCGGGGCTCAAAATAGCCACATTTCTTAGGGAAATTGCCAAGTTGCCAGAACAGCTTTTCATTTGTGTGTCCTCCTCTCTCCATTTACCATATGAGACATCAAAGTAAAGCCTGCGGCAATAGGCGAACATGAGAAATGCAATGGGAAGCATTTGACCAGCTCATTTCCGTGCGTTGTGTGTTTTGGGCTGGGGATTCCTTCCTCCAACCAGATTCAGGTCCTCTCAATCTCAATGAGGATACGGATCCGTCCGCCTGATGGATTTTCGTTATGTGTCCATTGAGTGCTCGGAGGAAATTGAGAAAATGTCTTAGAAATCAACTCTCGCACAACAGTTTGTGGAACTTACTCTGTCTGTCGGAGCCATTTGCAATTAAACCGAACACAGCCACATCGCACCCAGCTTAATGCACACCATTATGTCCTACCATTTTTCGGTGAGTGATTGAATACACTCATACAAATTTGTACCCTAAATTGCCTTGAAAACTTCAATTTTCCGTTGTCTCTGAAGAAAATCGGGGCTAAATACTATAAAAGAGATTTCTTAAACATATTTCCTTTCTCGATTTTTTTAAGTTTCTTTTGTTTATAAATTTTTTTGCCATAAATATGGGTACTTACTTAACTGGTAGGTACACACGAACACCGAGCCACCTTGTACACCTTGGGTACTTCATTAACTGAGCCTGTGGTAGGTGAACGCCACAATAATCATTCTAAAAAGAGTCAGAATTTTAAAACAAATTAAAATATTTTCTGTGGAATACGTACCCAAGTATGATATTCAAATTTCCGCAAATGATCACGAAATCACAGCACAGGGGCACCGCTGGGTAGGTAGCGCACGCTGAACTGTAGAGTCTTCGACTTACTATATACGATATGTATGGATATATGGATGCATATGCAAACACTTACAAACTGGGTGAGTAAAACACAGGATTCAGTCTCTAGTAGTCGAGTTTGGTAAACTAGAACACCGGAGATTGAATCCCGTATATCACCTAACCCATTTGTATGTGCAAGCACATACATACCTAAGACTTGGCCGGCAACGGTCAATACACTGCAGTTGTGTTTGAACCAGTTGGGAATTATTTAACGCACTTATGCGAGATTTGTCAACACAACAATAATATTAATAATTGACCAGCAAAACAAGTGCGATTTGCTTTTAAACTAACACAGGAACTAAACTAGGTAAATTAGAAACAAAAAGCGCACTACATTTGAAGAAAACAGAAGAATTAAACCTACAAAATTGTATTTCTAATGGCTTCGTGGCTTGCCCACATGAAGAATTTTAACAATGTGACCAGAGTTGTGATTGAATATGAGCATTTTATCGAAACAGCGTCCTATCGCTATCGATAATCGATTAATCCTGTCGCGCCAATTTGATTTTCAGGCAAATGCACGGAATGCGAGGCGAGTGGCCAACGACACTCAGAAGGACAAACAATTCAATTTAATTTACTCGCTACGCCTCTTAATGTCCGCACAATGATGCGGCGCTAACTGAAATTGTTGAGGTCACCCAGGGATAGGGACAGGGTCAGAGGTCAGGTTGGTATAGAGCGACAGGCAGAGGAGGGGCGAGGAAGTGGGTGCACAAGACTTAAGTACAATGAAATTACTTTAGACATTTTAAGTATAAATTATGGCCAACAACCGAGTCGAGTTGAGTTGACTCCGCTCTGGTTTGGTTTGAGGTTCTTACACAAAGAAAATAATATGGGAATGTTAATTATTATTTTTTATTTAATTGTTTATAAATTATTTAATTTAGGGTTAAATAAATCATTAAAAAGTTAGTATTATATTATTATTACTGTTGGAACGCCCATGGGTCCAAGAACTTTCGCAATAAATCGAGCTTTTCGTTGGTATACAAGCAGGCTGAAATCTTTATTAAATTTCGTTATTAAATAAACGACACTTACATACACTTGTGGATTTGCCGCTCTTCAATTTCACAATGACGCTTATATCCTATATTTGTCTCGTTCTCGCAAATCAGTGTTGTTTAATTTCAAATTAATATAGAGCAGTGTTACGTAAGACCAGAGAAAATTCAAATAAAGACAGTTTTCATAACTAAAATTCAAATTAGACAACTAGCTCTAGCCATCCTCGTAAGAATTACTATACAAAATTAATGAATAATAAATTGTGCAATTTATTTAATTGTACAAAATTGAGCATAAAAATGAATGTATATCTATATTCTATTTATTTATCAATATTATTATAAGTTTTTTCCTGAGTGCAGCTTAGAAGCAAAAGTTGTGTAGCATCGTGAGACTCTAAATGAAGCTGATTGGGCTCAAAAAAGGGGGGACGGGTGGCGCCAAATGATGCTGCAAAATGGCCAAAGAACAACAAGGGCGCAAAAGGTCCATGGGTGGTACTTCCCTCCCACCGCTCTGGCCCTGGTAAGCGCATTTAGTTACGGTTTATTAGTGACAGGAGCCGAGAACAAAGAGTTCCTCCAGATACACGCACCCTAGATGCTTAAGCGATCTATTAACTGCCGCAGCACAAAAGTTGTAATAAGCTAAGTACATGGAACAGACACCGCCCGTCCGTCTGTCCGTCCGTCTGTCCGTCCGTCCGTCCGTCTGTCAGTTTGTCTGCTTAAAAGCCCCCAAAGTTTCGGGTCCGACAAAAGTGTTTGGTCATGGTCGGAGGAAAGTGAATTAGCGTGGAAATTCTGGAGTAGGAAAATGTTTTGCAGAATGTAGGAGAGTGGTCAGCCAGATGGAGTAACCAGAGTAATGGAAGCAGGGCCAAATATGGGCCTGGGAAGAAAAGCTGTTCGTAAGTACGTAATAAATGAGTTCAAGGAGGACATTAATATGGGTTCAACGAGAGTAATAGAATTGGGAAAATGAATTCTAGGAAAATAGAGAGTTTTCACATTGATTTATCATTTATTTTGCGGAAAGTAATGAAAACAAATCAAAGATTTCTTAAATATTGCACGCAATTTAAACGATTTCAAAATGAAACTTTACAATTTGTAGTTTTCGACTTATTCCGAATAACAATTTACGAAATAGACAACTATATACAATAGATTTAATTTGGAACCTTAAATTTATTGATTTTTAGCACCGCCAAAATCTTATTACGACTTACGCCAGTTTTTCATTGGAAAATTCATCCAGCGTCTCCATAACAAGGCTACGATTCTAAGATTTAAATATTCCAAAAAACCCGCCGAAATAGCACTTTGTTTAAACATGTTTTGAATCTGTAATTATTAATTTATGAAAACATGAACTGAACTTTAAGACTACTGCCTTAATTCAGAACTTGTTAGACACTCAAAATATTAGTAACAATTTAAAGTATTAACCCGAAGAATAAACATAGATTTTAAATTTTACATAATATTGTAAATACTACATAATTGTAAAATACTAAATAATATTAATATGGATATGAATATGTCTATGAAGCTTAGTGCAATCGATAGTGTAATCGATAGATCGAAAGTAGAATGATCGATGAAGAAGAAGAACTAACTTTACCGATACCAGAATAAGAGAAGAACTCTAAAATAAAAATTAAGACTAAAAGTTGTGACACTGTTAAAGGTATTAATTAAATGTGCACTTAAAACTGAATCTGAATGTGAGCAAATAGTGATACTTGCAAAAACTGACCTTAGCTGTTGGTATTTGCATCCCATACATTTTCAAACCATAGGTACTTAATTTAATTTATTGTGATAATAAATTCTTTTAGTTTGCAAAGAAATTTCATTTTTCCATAGAAATGCAATCGGATGAACCCTAAAAATTGTGGAAAATCTTTAAAACAAAACACGGGAAACCGGAAAGCTGATGTGTATTTCCTGGGGAAAGCAGGACTTAATGGTTTCATCTTCTGGCATCCGTTGGTTGCACTTTCCCAGCTTTTCCCCTGTCCGATTTTCCACCTTGCCATGGCTTCTGCTCCTCCTGTTTCGCCTTGGGGGGGAGGGGGAAATACAAATGCTGCACAAAATAATGCGGCAAATTCAGAAATCAAAGTGAAATGTCTCGAAATTGAAATAAAATGCGGAACGGGTGGGAGGACAGGGCGGAGTTTATATGTATAGTTTCCACCGAATTCGCGTGTTTGCCGCTGTCGCCTGTCATTGTCAACGTTTCTATTGCAGCCAACGGATTTGCACAAACAAGAGCAGGCGAAAAAAGAAAATAGAAAAAAAACAAACGGAAAATAAATTTCTGCGGATTGAGGGGAAAATTCCGGGTGGTCTTCACCACCCAGCCCTGCCACCCGTGGCGCATGCAAATTGCGAATAATTTTTTGCAGTTTATTCACTGTCGAGCGACTGCCCTGCGATGTCCAAACATGAACTCCACTTCCGCTTAGCAGCCGGGAGGGGGCGATGGGGGGGGGGAGGGAAGTGAACACACACACACACACAGCACACACAATGCCATTGAAACGATGAATTATGGCGATTTTAACGCCAACTTTGTCAGGCACTGTGACTTCATGGGCGGGGAAAATCTGGGGAAAGCCGATGGGACGGCGGCAGAGGGATATAAGGACAGGAATATGCGAGTAGGCGGATCCCAGATGGAAAAAAATCAAGAAAAATGAAAATACTGAGGATAGCAGCTAAACAGAAAAGCAAAGACCCAAGTTAAACAATGGACATCCCTGGGAAAATGAAATAGAAAAAGGGAAAGCGAAATCGAAGGCGAACGGAAAGGCCAGGAGCGAGGAGGAGAATCGTGAAAAGGATTCGTAGTGAGGAGAGCGTGACACGAAAATCTGATTTAAATGAACTATTTTTTTAGCTTGACTACTTAATATTTTGGAAAAAGTTGTCCCATTTATTTCTAACTAAATAATAGTTCAGAAAAATTATATTGTATGTTCCCTATTTGCTATATTGTTTAGTATTTATTGGAATTTATTAACAGCATTATAGTCATTGTGGTCTTATGACAATTTCTGCCAAAGAATGAGCTAAGTGAAGCTTAAATATAGAAAAACCATCCTTAAATGCTTGATCTAAAAATCAGCAAAGTAACTGACTTAAATCATATTTGAACTCTGTAAAATATGCAACTATTTCGTAAGCGTTTCTTTCTGTAAACGGAATCAACTTGGCATTTATGAAGCATGCAATTTACAAATCAATATTGCAATCAAGTCGCCGCTGCTTCGCCAAGTGTCTGTCTGTCGTCCTTTCTGTCCCGTGGAAATAATCGCAATCACGTCAGACGTCCGTCCATCTCTGAGGGCCACGCACTTGCTCTATCCGCCTTTTCCCCACCCTTTTCCGCAGTTTATCTGTGCGAGCTTTTGCCTTTTTGCCTGCCCGTCGCTTTCCTTGTTGAATAATGACCTCAAAATTGTAATGACTACAAGGCACGTACTCGATATAAAGCATGCACAAGGAGGGTATACCCTTAACCCCTGACCCCTCTTCCCTGCACACACACACACACACACACCCAGGATCCGCTCGGTAATTCCCCAGTTTTGTATGTGACGGTCGGACTAAGCAGACTTCCGCTTTTCAATTAAGTTCCACATATTGTTGCAAGGTGTTTTATGCGCGATTTGCATGACAGTCGCGTTTATTAAACTGCCAACAGCGAAAGAGCAGAGCCTTACATCTACACCTATACACACACACACCCACATTCAGAAGTAATGGCTGCAAAAACGGGCCAACGGCAAACCTGTCATGGCCATATTGAAATTGTGGGCAGGGCCAATATGCCACGGGGAAGATGGCTAAGAGTGCTGCGACCTGTTTACGCTGGCAGAAAAGATAAATTGCTCAAGTGTGTGAGATAAAAGCAATTGAGCGAAGGTGAGGGGGAGGGGAATACACACTCCTAGAGTCCTAGAAAAGTACGGAAAGGGGGAGACGGAAAGGAGACTGGAGTCCTGGGAGAAAGGATTGTATCCGCCAGCAGTTTAAGTTAGGCAAACAGGTTAACATGGCAGTTGAGTGAGCACTGCAAGCAGTCTCATACGATCCCAATTGCATATATCGATAAAGAAAATCACTTTGAACACACTTTCACAAACAAGGATATACATAAGGATGGAATACTACATTTATAGATTATTTTATTTGTAAAAAACAGAAAAGGAAAACTTTTAAATGCTGATTTTAAGGGAGAAATCACTTTAACTCTTCTATGAATATTAATTGCATTCTTTCTGTTCAAGTTAACAAAATAATAATCAATCAATGAATTTTAATTTAATGTTATTAATTTATAATCTTCTACAACAAGTTTACACTTATAATTGTAGCATAAGTCATAAGTTATTAATATTATTAAAGTCAAGGAAATTCCACTAAAAGATAGTATTTCCCGATCAATGCTCGCCTTCGGTTTGTACTTAGTTAAGGTGCTGAGCAAAGTCTCCTTTTGGTGTCCTTTTGCCTAATCCTTCAATGAAGCTGTGCAAAGTACTGTCCAGGTTTTTCAGGGGGAAAAACTATCACAGATTCGCTTAATCACTTGGCCAAAGAGTGCAAGGTCCAAGCTGCAAATTTTCAATCTTCAAGTTGTTTTGCCAGCTTGCCTCTCGGCCATTTGTCCCCGTCGAATGGTGAAAGTTTCTTGCTTCGCATTCGTATAATTTGACCAGTTTTTCGTTATTTTATTTCAGTTTGATAAATTAGGTGGACACTGGCATTGCCCGAATGGCCAGCACGAGACACAAATGACGGCTCTGTTCGATGCCATTATTTTAACTTTTTACACTGTCTTACATTGCTGGTTTTTCCTCTTATTTGTATTTTTCCTTGCTTCCCATTCTGTATGCAAAGGGACTCGTGGGATCCAGTTGGTTGTCAGCTGTGGCCTTCCCAAAATGCCTCAACACCTCCAAGAGCTTGTCCTCCGCCCCACCTTCTCCGACCGCCAGTCGTAAAAAGTTCTGTGCCTTCTCCTTGCCAGCCCTTATCTAGGTACATTTGTCATACAAAGCATAGAAATAAATGTCCACTTCAGCAGCAGAGCCCAGAGCCACTCGGAAGTGGGTTGGGAATGTTGAATTCCAAGGGGAATTTAACGTGATACAGCAGCGGTAAAAATAATATATACGATTTGAAGAATTATTGTCCTTACATGGGGATGCATGCACGCAAGCAAGGAAGTGGAAGTTTGAATGTCCTTGCAGCTTAAAATAGAAACCAATCATTGCAATGGCAAAAAATATAATATATATCTCATATTTGGAACAGAAGGAACTTTCAGCGTGAACGCAGGTGTACTTGCCACTGCGGTTTACGAGCAATTTCTTAAAACATATTTTCAATTTCTTGTGTACCTGTAATTCCGGCTCTGTCTGCCTCAGTCTCTGTCTCCATTTTCCTTGCATGTCCTTGTATTTGTGCCAACTTATTTCTCATCCCTACCGCCACACAGGATTTCGTTCAAGGACTTTCGATACTGTCACGCGGCTCCGTGGAGGAGAAACTGCGCTGGACCTTTTCGCTCTACGACATCAACGGCGACGGCTTCATTACGAGGGAGGAAATGACTGACATTGTGACTGCCATATACGAGCTAATGGGCCGGCTGCCCGACGAGTGTCCCGAGGAGGAGAAGATCAAGGGCAAGGTGGAGCACATCTTCCAGGTGAGTGGCAGTTTCAGTCTTTTAGCTCCTTCTCCTTCCCCTTAAATCCGAAACAATTTTCGCCTATTATTTATGCTAATTACACGCGTACAATTTGAATTTGAGTTGCGAACATGAAACTTATTTACTTTGCATTATGCAAATTCAAATTGTCCATTTCAATTTGTCGGCCAGCAGTCCAGTCCAGGATGAGCGGCTTTGTGAATGGGTTTTTCCCAGTGGTTCCCAGTGTCCTGCTCCTCCTTTGGCTTGCCAGTCACGCATTGTCATTAGCGGTCGTTGGCAGTCGGAATAAATTGGGCAGAGCAAATGGGTCCCGGCCCGAAGTCCTTGAATAATGCCGGGCGAGAGTGAAATTGATGATAGATGGCTGAAATCATTCACGGCCCATTCCGGTGTTTGGGGGCTGTGAATCAAAATTCCTGCTGCTCCAAATGGCGGCGGAAGTAGTGCGTCCAAGGCGCAGCTCGTCTAAGCTGTTGCTTTTGCCCATCTCAGTCCGGAAGTCCCCCCCCCCCAGATAACTAAATGGATTCAATTGCCAGTAATATCACGTTGTGTTGGGGATATTAGCCAGATATATTAGCCGAATTTTCTTTGAATGCACATAAAAGATGGAAACTAAACCGTTTCGATAGGAGTTCATTTGCTCCAACGAGTTTTCATAATAACTGCCAAAGCTTAAAGGAAATATTTCTAAGAGAAAAGTGTACTCTTAAAGAGGATAACAAGAATATTGAAAAACGACAAATTTCAAGCCGAAACTCCATTCAAAATATATTCAAGAAACATGATCCAAGCCAAACTAACCAAATAATAAAGTGAACTAAATGAAGATACCTCAGTTGCTTTATTTTGATGTTTTGTGCACCCACAGAAAATGGACATCAATCGCGACGGTGTCGTGACCCTAGAAGAGTTCCTGGAGGCCTGTCGCAACGACGATGCCATCTCGCGATCGATGTCCGTATTTGACACAGCGTTCTGACCATATCCGACCGACAAGGGCGACGAATACACGGTCCGCCGGCGGCGACGCAGTCGCAGTCAGCAGCAACACCAGCATCAGCATCAGCAGCAGCAACATCTGCAACACCAACAGGATACAGAGAAAAGTAAGTCCAAGCACAAGACGAAGAACAAGCAACAGCAAAAACAGCAGCAACCACATAGCACTAGACAGCAAAAGTGTTGTCACATAATCGACATGGATGGCGGTGATAGCTCCACCACCACAACCACCACATCGGCGGCCACGAGCACCACACTCAACTGCAATGTCCTGAATGGGAAACCGCTGCCCGAGGAGGCGGACGAGTATGATGAGGAGGAGGACGACGAGGACGACGACGAGGAGGAGGAGGATGAGGATAAGGACAACTACAGGCACTTTGTTTGCCGGCACTGCCAGAGGTCGCAGTCAGCGGGCCGCCGATCTCACAGCAAAACCAAGACGCACTCCCAGTCCCAGTCGCAGTTGAAGTCGCGCAAGCGCAGCAAGAGCAAGAAGCGCCACCAGGCAAAGGCCGGAGCCGCTCAGACGGTGCAGGCAAGGTGGCCGGAACTGAACGTGGCCAACGAACAGGCCATCCGCTTCCGGTGCCCGCAGGTGGGGCCGCAGGTGGGTCGCGACCTTCACACGCCGCAGCCTCTGCACTTTCATCATCCGCAGTCGCAGGGCCGCCTAAAGAGTAGATCCCGCCACCAGCGACGGATGGCCAAGAATGCCCCAGCACCGCCACCGCCACCTAATCCTCACCAGAATCCGAATCCAAACCGGAACCCGAACCCGCACCCGCCCCAGTCTGTGACAACAGCAACGCCAGCACCCTCCGAACTAGCTCCTCTTCCGCCGCTCGTGATTGTGGCCGAGGGCGAGGGCCAGGGCCAGGGAGAGGCTGAGCTGGTTGTCGATGTCCATCCGCTGCATCTTCAGCCAGCGACCACTCCCGATTCCCCTTCGCTGGTCACCGTGAGCACCTGGTACACGGTGGCCAAGCAGGGTGTCTCCTGCTAATCGCGGCGAGCAGTGAGTATCCTTGCCACCAGGCATCCAGGCATCCAGACATCCAGCAACCCAAAAACAAATCCAACAAAAAGAAATTGCAATACCGAATCGGTGTGCGGACTTGTTGTTGTTGTTCCAGATTTAAATATATGTATACAATATATATATTTTATGCTTTTATAAATTTTATATGTGTGTTTTAGGGTGGATCTTCCAGAGCTCAATAATTATTTTATGAAATTGAATCGTTCAGTTTATTTCACATAAAATTACCTAAGTTGCGAAAGTATCATTGCTCGAACCCCTTGAAGAGGGTCAGAAATCTTAAGAAATCGAATCCTGTGACAGAGATCCACCCCATTGTGTATGTGTATTATGTAAGCAAGTATGTTGATTCGTTTACAATTTCTCTCTGTAATTAGCCAAAAGAAAGTTTACAAGAGTTTAAAGCGTTCTCTCTGAGTGTGTGTATCGATCAATGTTGCAAACTGTCAAATGTGTTACAGTCTAAAATACATTTAATTCTATAGAAATTGTAAGTGCAAATGAAAAAAAAGCGAAATGCGAAATGAAACTGAACCAAAAAAATATATACATATATAGAAAATTATATGGAAAAACATTAAAACTCTTTCTTTACGTTCTGTAAACTCATATTGTTTTCGTGGCCCGAAAGAATACTTCTTAGAAATGTTTGTTGAATGTCCTAGAATAACATAAATTGACGTTAGCTGTGATGGAAAAACAAAGTATAATTAACGAAAAAACCGAAAAACTTGCATATTCTAATTTGTAAAAACCAAATGAGAGTCAAGGAAGAATATTGCTCAAAGAAAGATACTTTATCAAGGTGTATGTGCATGTGTGTGTGGGTGTAATTGAAAATGTTTTCTCAGAGAGATTTAAACTTACAATTAATCAATATTAAGAGATTTTCCTTCTGATAACTAAATTGAATTATTCGAGTTTCTAAATTATATTTTTGGATATTTTTGTGTTCTATGTATCAAATAGCAACGAAGAAATTGAGATATATAATTTGGTAATTGCATCAATAAATATGCAGATTAATAATTAACAATGTTATTTTTCGCTTTTGCAAAAACACACACTGTCACACTGCTGCCATTAATATGCAAATTCAATGCCCAAAAATGTGAAAATCAACAGAGAAATTGTAGGGAGCAAGTGTATACAGTTTGGTTTTTAATTGAAGCCAGCAGTCAGCCTTCGGCTTTATTGGATAAAACTTAATTGGATGCCATTAAATTTCGATCCGTTTCTGTTGTATTATACATAAAACAAAGAAAGTTTCGCTCGCTTTTCGAATAACTCTTGTGAAGTTTTGCTGGGCGTTTACTTTTTTTGCTAACTGTTATTGCTTGACATGCTTTTGTTGTTGTTTCCATTATATGCCACATTGCACACATCAAGGAAACACACACACAAAAACACACACACACACACACACTAGCACACGCACACGCAAAAACAAACAAGGATGCAAACGCATGGGAATTGAAATTCTTGTATGCCAATTAAAATATCTGCTTTTCTTTCTCTTTCTCTCTTCTCTTTCTCTTTCTCTCTCCCTTTCTCTCTCTCTCTCTCTCTCTCTCTCTGCACACAAACAACACCCACACATACACACACACACACAAGTGTAGAAATTTACATAGAAAGTAAATGAAATGCGTAGCGAGAAAGACAACGCGAATCTGCCAAAATAAAAATCAAGGTACATCCAATGTTCATAAATATGCAATTATGCAATGGGATGTGCGTGTGTGTGTGTGTCTGTGTGACAAGCTGCAAAACTGTAAAAAAAAGAAGGAAAAATAATATCTGGAATCTGGAAAATAACAGAGCTACAAGAGCAACGTCATTTTAGTTGTTGCATTTAAGGGGTTCCAAGTAGTTCTCAAGCGATGCAGAAGAAGTGAGGATACACCGGATGTGGGTGCCAGTGTGTACACACCCCCCGAGAGAAAACTCCCCATTGAGAATGTACGAAACGAAAGCTTTACACAATGAAACTAAAACTAAAAACTAACAACTAATAACTATGAAATAATTAACATTTTATTGATATATATATATATACATGTGTATATATACATAGAGAGAAATTTAAATTAAAAACATGAACTATATTTATACGGATTACGCGAAAACAGGAAATAGCATGGAGGAATACCAATTAAGTTCCGCATAATTGATATTTAATCGAAAGCAGAATTGGCTTTCTTTTCGGAACACGAGTATATATACTGTATAGAACGGAGTGTAGGTAAATAAATGTGAATTTTGTGCTGTCTAAATCAAAATAATGGCAAACACGCACACACGCTATGGCACACGACAAGGACATGAGCAAGAAACGTTCCCCGGGGCGTATGAGTAATGTTGAATTCGAGTGTGTATCGCACTCGTCTGTTGTTTTTCCGCATTGTTGCTATATATTGCTATATCTCCATTAGCAAATTAGTTGAATCCGATGATGTTGGTGACAATGATGGAATGTCATCAAGTATATGCTATACATACATATGCAAAACATATTTCCCTGTGGGAGAGAGGAGGAGCTTGTGTGTGCGCCTCAGAGTGTGTGTTAAGAGTGTTGCAGAGCTGAAGCTGAAGCTAAATCAAATAAAAACAAATGTTAGAATCAGAAATTGGACCACAACAACAAATGCATATACATATATGTAGGGCGACAGAGGCAGGATATCCATGTGTATATGCATATTATATTTACATACATATAAACAGAGAAATATATATACACACAAGCCGTATATATAATATTAAATGAATAAAAATTTGTGTGTAATTGTAATTTTTTGTAGCTAGAAACTAAGTGACACAGAAGGCGAGGAGGCAGAGAACTATTAGAAGTAAATACACGGATTAATAACCAGAGTGGATAGATGCATAGGAAACCAGAAAAGTTGAAAATTAATAATTACGAAAATCTCGTTGTACATAGTTAGTGGGTGTACATAGTCTATTTTTTTGTTTTTTTGTGCCGTTACACCAACTACAGAACTTTCTCTATACTTAACTCTAAAACACAAAGTAATTGTTGCATTTTTAACCCTATACATACAAGCATAAATACATATACTGTATAGCTGTGTACTTAGCTGTAGTCTTCCAGAAGAAACCGATACGAAGCAGAGAACTAATCCAGCGAGGCGAGGTGATGACCACTATCTATTCCACGTAGATTGAATATCTGTAGCAAATTTGTACCTTAGCCGAAACACCCACATAGCTTTCAAAACTAAACAAATCCAACCGGAATACAAATTGTAAAACAATAAATCCTTTTAATGGACGAGTCCAAGCAAACGGCCAGCTCCAGGGTCGCAATATACAAAAGCTGTAAAGGTGTCCTGGTCGCAGGAGAAGAGCTGTATTATTTTTGGATAAATGTTATCGATGCAATTCCCAGACCCCCACCCCCTTGATTCTCAGCTCAATTCCAAGGTTATTCAGTGCTATATCCTTCAAACTATCGGTTTTCTACTACATATATAAACTAAAACGGATCCGATCCGATCTTAGGCACGACAATATCGACAGAGCAACAGAAATACTATACTATTCGATCTATACTATACATATATAATACAGTTAATACCGTAATACCCTCCCACCCTGGCTGATCAGACCACACAACACAAAAGCGAAAAATATCGATATTAAATTGGGAATTCGATATGAGTATTGATGATAGCTGCACGACCTTTGTCTGATGTATCGATATCTACTACATGGACATATCGATTTCACAGCGATTTCAAGTGATTTCACTTCCAAGACTATTTCGATATATTGCGTTTCGAAATAATATTCAACAATGGATTTCCACAATTTGTAAAATCAATAGAAGACCTCTACGAAATTGAGCTTGTCAGTATATCAAATCGAATTTTTGTTCTCAATATGCTCGATATATGTATATTTCTACAAAACACACTGTTCTCTCTCTCTCTCTAGCTCCTTACATTGTCTCTGTCTCTTTCTAATTATCTGTGTGTGGAATTAGCATTCAATTCTTAATACGAAATATAATTCAAAAATAAAGTGTCAAATTTCAACAACAAAAAAGAAGAAAAACTAAACAAACAAAAAGTTGGCAAGTAAAGCGAATTGACAAACCAAATGAAAAACAGAAAAAAAAAACAAGAAAAAGCACACAAAAAATTGGAGGATTGCCAACCAAGTTGCCAGTATTTTCCAGGCCTAAGCCTTATACCAAATCGAAAAGATTAAAGGAACGCTAATAATTGTAAACTGAAAAAAATATATGCAAAAGTAATTGTATAGGACCACGCCTCAAAGGGCGTCTGAGTGTTTTTTCCTAATTTATAAGCTGTTGAAATCAAATTTTACCAAAAACAAAAAACAAACTAACTGTTGAACGAAAGCCAACGTGGAAGCTGAAGGGAAATAGAATTCGAAAAGAGGATGAGGGATAAAGGATGATACTAACATGAAAAGACCCGATAATCTCGTTTTAGAGAAATAGAGAAATACTCGATCTTCAGTTGTTACTCTAAAACTGTATTACGTCGTTTGTTTATTTGCGACCAAAACATATACGGTTCTACTATATGTGTGTCGGAGAAGCAAAAGTGCAGAAAATACATGTCATAGCATAGACTTAAGAGCGACATAAACAACATTTATTATGGGCAACCGGAAACTCCAAAGTTATCGAGAGCCAGTGTGTCCCTATGAGAATTTCCAGTGTTATCGGTCGATTGTTGGTAACGGGAACTCCCCCAGAAAATCCATCGATCGAACGTGGCCCGTTATAAACACAATTAAAAATTGATAATGAAAAAAATTACGAGTATATACGGAAATATACTAATGTACTAGTTGTAAACATAGATGATCTTTTTTGGTGTAAATTTTAAAATGATAAAATCAAGCGAACAAACTTTCCATGCAATAAAAACAAATACCAATGTTTCAAAACTAAAAACTAAAAAAAAAAAACAAAAACTCGTTTAAATGCAAAAGTGCATGAACCAAAAAACACGCAGACATGGCAACACTTAACTAAAAGAAAAACATTTTTTTTTTTGTGAAGTTAAAATATATGTATAAAACAAGAATACAAACAAAGGTATAATGGAA